CATGCTCTCTCTCTTTTTAAACCACACTGCCTTGTCTTTTCAACTGGAAACTTATCCTTGGGGTATAGCTACCTTAATCTCCTGCTCTTCTTTCTCCCTAGAAAAACAAAGCACATATACAAACCAAGGTTTCCGTAAGGGTGGAGAACATGGTCATTCTGATAGAGGTGTATTTTTGAACCCCCCTCTCAAAAGAATCTTGCTGATAATAATTCAGGGGGTCAAAGTATCTCTGTTATCTTTTGTTCCTAGTATTTAGATCTTGGAACTATCGTTCAAACAACCCATTCATGATATCTGATACATTATTTATAATAATACAAAGGGAAGAAATCACAGCCAAGAAATCCATTCTGTTGATTATCCTTATGTATTCTAAAATAGATGGCCCAAATCTCTACACATTTATACTGTACAGTATTTTCAAACAGACTCCAAAATTGCCAAGATAATTGAGGTGTGAAATATCCTGTGCCAAATAGCTATGGCACCTTTTTGCCATAAAATAAAATAATAGCATAAAATAATAGCAAAAATAGCAACCTTTTAGTGAAAGCAAATGTGTTTCTTCAGAGAGGAAACAACAGATGGAATATGAATAATTATCCCATGTACTCTCTTTGCCCAAGAGCATAATTGTTTACCTATGCTTTTTTTTCTTATAGATTAGAATCTTGTGTTGCAGTCAAATAGATTGATTTAACTGCCTCTGTGACTTCCTTTCATTTTTAAGATTTGGCAGTCCATGACAAAGAGGTTAATTGCAACCCAATAGAGCTAAACTAATGTTTTATTAAGAAGCACTTGGCATCCTGAGCTTTTAGAAGAACAAATGTTCTCCTAAGGCCATGAACAACTTACAGAGCAAGTATTAGGCTCTTCATATTCAACTGTCTGTTCATATTACTCCATATCGACCACATCTAAGTAACATCTGCAAACTGTGCTGAGTAATCAGTCACACCAGTTAGGTTTCTGTAAAGGTGAGATCAGTAAATGTATCGCTGGGCAAAGTTAGAACTGCTGATGCATCTGTTTTTTCCCTCTGACCTAGACAGTGTGGCTGCCTCACTTTTTCAAAGTTTGACTGTGCAGTGAGGGCTGGTGAGAGATCAAGTAAACTAATTTAGGCAGTAACACGAGCAATTCCAGATATGTTCAAGTGCACGAGGGGAGAGACGTGAGGGAATTCAGTGTGGCATTGTTAGTAATAGTGAAAATCTAGAAACTACTTCAGTGTGTGTGAGTGGAAAATACACATGGTCAGGAAAGAGCAGATGCTTAATTCTCTGAGATGACAGAGGTGCTGGCAAGAAGCAGGTGCTGTTGTGAGTTGGTCTAGAGGTAGAAGGAAGAGAAGGGAAGTTGAAGTGTTTCTTGCAGCTTCTGTTCTTGATGCGGTATTGGGTATGTGATAGGAATGAGAAGAGAGGCCTAATGTGGTATCTTGAGAACAATGCTTATGCTTAGAGCTGGGGACTGCAAGAAGGCTCTAAGCAGAGAGAAAGGAAAAGATTATGAGGATCACAGGAGCTCATCTTTGAGTGTTCCTGTTGAGTTATAAGTGAAATGAAACATCTCTCACCTTTGCAGTGGTTCTCTATCTTTTAGGGAGCTTTTAGCAAAACTTATAAATGATTACTCATTTAATAATTGCCCTTGGCTCTGATTTCCTTAAGAAGGAAGAATCTTTTCCACATCTTTCCTCCGTAATTTCTCTTTCAGTATGCTTGAGTCAGCTCAACATTTGTCACCACCTTTCTCTTTCTGTAAGCGGTTCCCCAATTTCATTTCTGAAGACAGAATTTTAATCTTCAGTGCTTCCCCTGTCCTGTGCCCAGCTGTCACTACTATACCCTTCCTTCTTCAGCCCAGAGCTCTTCCTTTATATTTGAGTTATGTGAACACTGTTAAAAGATGAGCATAGTTCCTTTTGTATATTTTAATTTTAACATATAATGCAGATGCTTTTTAAATTCCTGTTTAACTTTTTAACTCATTTTCTCATTCATTCATTCATTCATTCATTCAACAACAAAAACATATTTAGTGCCCTCTACGTGCGAGTCTTGGTGATAGACAATCAAAGATAGAAGAAATGACAGCTAAAGTCATATTATGCAATACACTCCCTTTTCTTCTACGTTGAAGTATACTCTTACTCAGAATATACTGATTGAAAACACTTTTAGAAATGATGAATTAATGTTATATCTTTCAGTTTCTTTCTGTTATTATTCAATGATAGTCCTATTTTTAATCTCTGGAGAAAAAAATAGAAATGTTACTTTTTTTTTTGGTACCGGGGATCGAACTCTGGACCTTGTGCTTGTGAGGCAGGGGACGGAACCACTGAGCTAAATCCCCGGCCCGCAAGTGTTACATTTTTAATCTCTGGAGAAAAAAATACAAGTGTTACATTTAGAACAAGTGTTCTAAAACTTTTTCTTTAAGAAACTAAAATAAGGTAAAGGAATGAGATATTTCTTGATCATATTACTGATAATCATTAGTATTATATGCATTATATATTACATATTATTTTACTCAAATAATATATACACATACATGGATATTTGATCAAGCTTTTTTGATACATAAATCAGGAACCATTGATTTCTCATTAAGAAACACAATAAGATGTTGTGCTTTTCAAATCAAAAACCAGAGAATGGTAATAAGCTTTAATTATTCTGTTTCCTTCCTCACATACTTATTTCTCTGTGTAATGCTATGGAATAAAAGGATATATTCAATTTTAATGTATATTCGTATTCAAGAGGATTTGTATTCTTCCTGTGTCAATGAATTTATTCTTTTGTTATCTCCTTTTATACTTTCAAAAAATTTTTAGATAAATTTTATTGTACACAGGGAATGAAAATGGTTCTCTCTTTTAATCCAACCCATATGTAAAAAGTGAATGGAACATTACTTATCTTAGAAATATGAACCTTCAGTAAGTAAAATGTTGACTTGGAAGTTTCTAGAAATAGTCTATACAATTCTAATATTAAACTGATATAACAAATGGAAATTATTATCAGGTAATTATTTAATACAGTTATGACTAATATAATTACTGTCAACCGAGGACACCCTCACCACTTTTACCCAACATAGAAAACCAAACCAAAGCCCAGAGATAATAAAACAAATTGGGATGTAGAAAATGTCCAGTTGTGCTGTTGTGACTGCCTTGATGTCCTGAATCCATTCAAATTAACCTTCCTTGATAATTTTGACCCAACTTTCACAGAAAGCCTTCCAGAAGATTCCCTGATTTCAGCATTTTTTTTTCTTTTTTTCTTGATTTCAGCATTTTTATGCCTCCCCTTAATGGAATAGGGCTACTAGCTGCTGTATAGATAGCACTTCAGAAGTACTTCTTGGGTTTTAGTCTAGGAGGGCTCTTTCCTGTGTAGTGCACTCCTGTGCCACAGCATAGGACTTACTTTGATGTTCCTGTTAAAGAAATAATAATGAAGTATAATATCACTTTCACTGTGTGATTTTACAGGTAGCAAGATAATGTATGTCCTGGATTTCTTCTGTCATCTTTTATCACATTGTCTGAAATTTCATCATGCCATTAAGAATCATTCCTTTATAACAGTAGTTTCTTTTATTGTTAAAGAGTTCTTTGGTAAATCATGTAATACCATGGAAATTATCAGAGAGTTTAATGAAATATTTAATATATCAGAGCTTTTGAGATACCCAGAGAAAGGATAGTTGAGACAGGACCAGAATATGGTTGGCTTTGTTTCATTTCATTTTTTTATTCTTATGTTCTTTTATTGGTACATTTTAGGTATACAATACATTTCCATTCATCATTGGGTGCTTGTACCTGTACAGGATGTATCTTGGTTCTTATTTTTTCCCCATTACCTGTGCACCCTTCACCCCCTCCACTCTTCCCTATTTACATAGACTTCATTTCCATTTTTTTCTTTTCTCATAATTTTTCCTTTCCCTTCTTTCATTTCTTAACATCTCCTTGACACGTCCTAGAAATTAATGAGTTTAATATTGATAATTTGAGCATCCAGAAGAAATTTCTTTCCCATGTGAAAAATTCACATTTCCCCCCCAGAAGCTACTGTTCTATCAGAAAACATTAGGATTCTAGATATCCTAAATGTAGTTTTTAGATATCACTGCAGTTGTTAATGAGAAAAGTAACAATTTTGCCATATTATGAGGAATATGGAAACATGAACCATAATATGTGAGATTTGTTGAAACTGGGCTTTTTCTCTTACGTGTGAATATCTTCACTCAAATGCTCTGTAGTACTGTTTTCATTAGAGTAACACTAGCTGCTATAACAAATAGCAATAATACTGTAATAATAATGTATTATTGCTAATAAAATAGGTATAATAATCATTTGACAAAATAGAAACATATTTCTTGTTTGCATAGCAGTCCAAGATGAGTGATCCTGGCAAGCATATGGCATTCTTCCATACTGGAATTTGGTAGCTTTGTGTCCCTTCAGACCTTGTACGTTTGCATCCAGCTGGTAGAGGAGGAGAAAGTGTGCCAGAGCCACACTTCTATCTTAAGTTGTGACATGAATGTGACACATATCTGCTTACATTCCACGGGTGAGAACCAGTGATATGGACCACACAGTGATGCAAGGAATGCTGGGAAATGCTGAGAAGTGGAAACAGGTGACTGGTTTCCAGTAAGAGACCTATGGAATGTAAGTGGCAGCACTGAATTTTGTGGATGGTCACCTGCTTTGGCTGTAGGGAGTATATAATAGATATGGGCACAATGCAAAGGTCACATATAAAAATTGCTCATGATTTTATAGCTCCATGTTAAATATATGATAGTGTCCATGTGGGCATCAAATGCTTTAGATTGATTCCTTTCATTTGTTCTTGATGTTTTGTGATTTCTGTGATTCTTTGCATATTAGAAAGAATCTTGGATTCCTTATTCATTCTATATGAAAACATGAGACTTTCTGTATTTTTAAGGTTGGACAAAATTTGCCCGATTGACACGAGCTTTGACAAACAGCCGGAGTGTTTTGCAGCAGCTTACGCCAATGAATAAAACAGAGGTGGCCCACAAGCACTCGAGATTAGCTGAGGTAAGTGTGAGGCTAGCTTTGCTTCCCAAGATGGTGGTGTTGGCACATTTTTTTGGTCCCAAGTGATAACAATATAAATATTTCTGGCCATAATATTAAAATACGTAGGTGTTAATTAACTTTTCCCTTGTAGAAGTGGAGCAGTCCCAAGTATTTGTTTTTATTCTCTCCAACTTTTGAAACAAAATGTAGATTGTGACATCATTGGAGCAATTCTATATGCAGCAAGAACTTACTAAGGGTTTGCTATGTGCTTGGCTCTCTAAAAAGGATGTAGAGCTGAATAAGCAATGGGCCCGACCATCAAGGAGTGAAAGGTACAGCAGAAGAAAGTGACCACAGAATGTTAACAAGACTATGCAGAATGCAGTGGAGATGTATGTGGTAGCATCGTTGCAGACTTGGGCCTCTAGGGCAGATACCTGAGTGAGGTTATTCCTGGGTGAAGTGAATCTGGAGGGCAGGTCCAGAAGGGAGGGTGGCATGTACAAAGTTCTAGGATGATACAGGACAAGGGGTTTGAGTGTGCCTTCAGTGTGGTTGAATTCAGGTGGGGAAGGAAAGATTAGGATGGTATACCATAAGACAGTGGTGGTTGATGTCTCATGTGTTAGGAAAATCTCTCAAAGAGAGATTGGTCCCAGCTGATTTCTTTTGTACAGTGGAACTTTGACATAACTCAATTCCTTTTCCAGGGCTGGTTGTAACTCAGGTTGGTCATTGAAGGCTCAGGCTCCTCTACACAGCCTTTGAAGTCTCTCTCCTGTATCCAGGAAGATGTCAGTGTCCTTAGAGAGACATTGGCCCAGGGCTTCTCAACCCCACACAAGAAAGGATGTTGTAGTGTTCCTTCTGGAACTCTTTAAAGGTTAAATCTGTATCTCAGACCATCTGAAAGCACAAGTTGATGGCATTTGGGTTGTCATTCAAGACTTTGTAAGTTAAAAGTGAAATTCCAGTTGTAACACAAGTTGTTTGTGTGTCAGGCCAGTTGTAACTGGAGAGTCCACTATATGTCACATTTTTGCTGTATTAAGTTAAAGACATTCAAAGAAGGGATCTTTAGCTACCACCAGATTGCAAAAGGGATCTGAGGCATAAGATGATTAAGAACCCTTGCTTGACCTACTGGTTCTGTGGAGAATGAGTGTAAGAAACCAATTAAGAAGCCCTAATAGTGATTTAGCTAGAATGACTGTAAACGCAGAAGTGGTAGTGGAAGTGGGCGAATTATAGCCACACCAGGATTAGAGTAAACACGTTTGTTGATAGATGAGAACTGAGCGTGGGGCAAGATGATGAGTAAAGGGTAAGTCTATGTTTTTTGTTTCAGACATTTGTCTGGACTGGCATGAAAGATGCCAACAATCCAATTAAACTATCAAAAACTATGCTGAACAAAAAGCGGATACTCAGAAAATCTTCTGTTGTGACTTACCAAAGAGGAGCAAGAAAAATGAAATGCATATGTTCATCCATTTACTCTGCCAGAAAGCAGCGAGTTGAAGCTCTCCAGAATAACTTTTCTAAGTAGTTGTAAAGGTGACATCTGTTTTAGAGAGGATTAGGAAGTAAAATATGTCCCTTCAATTTAGACAGCTATGGAGTTTCTCTTAGCCCATAGTTAACAGAGAGACTTGTTATAGTTTTCTGCTCTAAATAACACTGTTAGCTTGGGCAAAGATTAATACTTTGAGGTCCAGACATGTTTAAAAAATGCAAATAAGACATTAACATAACTGTTTCTAGACTTATTTGTAAAATTCAAAAAGGTGATATGAAATCAGCACACTATTTAAAATGGTTAGATACAGCTAAGTTTTTCAGTGGTGTCTGTTATTAAGTACTACTTGGTTTTGGCACCACCTTCTTGTTTGCCTAAAGTTGTCCATATCTAAATCCAAATCCACCTGAAGAATAAGAGGTAGTTTCTATGGCTGTCAAATTTTATAGTCATAAATTCTTCTGGATCTTGATCAACTATACCTATTCTGATATTTCCTTTTCCATGTTACACTACTGGACAAGAACAAGACAAAGGGTGCCCTTGAGAAGAAAACCCTCTATCTTAGTGCCCTGAATAAGTCAGGGTTTGTTGTTGTTGTTGTTAATCCATGTCAAGGGAACATGTGGAAACCCTAGGTTTTTGATGGCAGTGTGTCCTTAGATTTTCAAAAACATACCTAAAAGAAATACCAACTTAGCACAAGAATGTTGTTTTTCCAGTTATACTCAAAGATTTATACAATTTGCTCATGTAAAGTATCTGATTTTGCTGTGGAATTTTAGGCTTTTTCACTTTTCCTAAGATGTGAATTTGATCTCAATTTCACCTGCCTCCTAATTTTGGACCTCAACCCCAGTTTCAAAGATTCTAGTCTACACATAAGAACTTAATTAATTTTCCACAGGCATTGGCATTGTGCTGACGGTCTTCTGCGGGTTCACATTTATGCTGTGGGGAGATAAATATACACACCGTTGCCTTGCCAGTGAGCCCGACTTCATTAGTCAGTGTTCTCAGATCTTCAAAGAGGAAGAGTGTGTGTGTGTGTGTATTGGTACAACAATACATCAAAAAGTGTGATTTCATCCCTTTTTCTCCCAAGGTTTATGGCTTATGCAAGTGCAAATGAAACAGCAATGAAAGGAAAGAATTATTACTCATTCATTGCCTTATGAAAGAGCTCAGTTGTAGAGCCCGGTGATGATGGCTTCACACAAGAAAGAGCAAAGCTCCAACGTTTGTGTGCCTTTCTTTGTTACTGTTGCCCTTTGCTCTCTCTTCCTCCTCCATCTCCTCTTCCTACAACTGCTTTTTCTCTCCTCCTATTCTTGCTCTTTCTCTTTCTCATCTCACAGTTTGAGAACATTTTATGTATGTTAGTCATTGTCTAAAGAGCTGGTTTGGGGATGGCTAAATATAAGACAATGACCTCATCTTGATCTGTACATTGTCATCACCTGGAAAGTTTTGAAAATACAGGGTTCTCAGAGAACAAGCACCAGACCAATTCGGTCATTCTTTGGGGTGGGGGCTAGGTGGAAATATACTGTCTGTTTTAAAACCTTCCCAGATGGTTCTAAAATGTAGCCAGATTTAAGACATAGTGAACTTGGGAGTGAGAGGAGAGGTCTTACATTTTTTCCAGGGTACTGGGCAGGGCCAGCTTGTTCATTAACACAGCAGGCACAGTGTTTAGGGCCATAACACTTTTTTTTTTTTTTTTTTTACATTTTAGGTATACAATATAATGACATTCATCACTGGAAATTTGCA